GGGTGTCTAGAAGGGGAAAAAAATGTCTCTGCAGCTAGTCTGTGGATATAACTGGATCTAATGCTCTGGGACTGTGTTTGGGTGCCACAAAGGAAGGTAGTGCCATGCAGTCATACAGAGAGCATCTTAGAGAAAATCACAGCTACAAGGGAAGCACGATTTGATGACTGGCTTTGCCAAGGTCGTCCCTGAAAGCAGAGCAGCTGCTGCAGTATGAGATTCATGACTTGCATCAAATTGTTACTGCATCTGGTTCACATGGCTCCCTTCAGCAAAGCATTAACATATGTGTTTCATGTTTCATTTACTTCAGTGTGGGTGATTCACTTACCTAATCGTGCTTTGCGTACTTTCTTCATCAGCACATATATAATCTGCAGCAACAGCAATAACAGCAGGTGTAGTATATTCAGACCCTGACTGTTTGCAGCCCACTAATAGTAATAGTAAGCAATATTTACATTATCCATGCAGTTCTCACCCAGGTAACAATATTGCTTTTGTTGCTGTTACCCTACTGCTATTCGCCATTCTTAGCACACCGAGTATTCACTTGTGTGATATTATTGCACATGCTAAATGGAGCCCTTTTTAAACTATAAAATGTGTGGAAATATTATGAATGGGTGTTGTATACACCTGTGCGTGTCTGCTTTTGAACGCTAGCAGAAAAAGAGCTAGGCAGCAACGGTACTGGAATGAGCAGCTAACGATGCTATGAACATCGTTTTGCACTAGGCGTCTCCCTTAGCGTATTTATTCAAGCGAGAGCTCTATAGTGCCACAGTCAAGTACAGGTAAGAACAGCTAGATGCGTTCGTACAACGGAGCTGTAAACTTACTATATGCACTGAGGAAACATCTAACATGGTTTGGAACAAATTATTGCAGTGGAGACAAGTATTGCTACAAACGACCTAGCAGCACCTACAATTTAGTCTGAGTTAACTGATGCTTAAGCCCCCTTCCCATAAGCAGCCAAGTTTATGTTTTCCTTTAGGGGTATTAGGACCCAATAGCAAATATTTTAACTGCTTTCTGCCAAAACCGTACACAAGATGAGCACAACATTCACAAAAAATGGGGCTTAAAGATGGTGCTGGCTTAAGTTCTGTACCTGAAGGATGAAGAAATTTATAGTCCTTTGCTCTTTTGGTCCTTAGAAGTTTACAAAAGGTTCTTGTTTTTTCATTGCTTATTGGTGAAAACTTACTCTGAAATAGAGTTTTGAAACAAATGAAACAGAATATGAAAAAAAAAATGAAACAGAGTGTTAGGATATTTCCAAGGGTTGGTTCCACATTTCCATCTCCAAAATCCCAAATACTGGTTTGACAGACATGCTGACATACAAGTAGACCTGGGATAGGAGAAAGATCAGTGGGAGAAGCACCTCTGAGTAACTCTTATCTGAGTTGAACCCACCCTTACCTATCAAATTGTTCATGGCTACCTTAAGATACCCAGGATTCTTCTCACACAGTTTCTCATCTTAGCCAGGCATCTTCCCTTACTCAAACAAAAACCTGCTACTAGAGAAGTGGCTTGTCCTCCCAACAAGAAAAGTAACCTGTTTAAAGAAAAATAATGTTCTCTATTCCTGGTGAAGTTTTCATGCATGTGCGAAAAATCCTAAGTGCTTTCCCCTTTCTGTAGCACTGCACTGGCTACTCTCTGTATTTCAGAAGTTATACTTTGTGTTTGTCCTTAAAATTTCTTTCGACAGAGATGTTTGAGAAGTGAATCCTGGGAGAGAGTTTTTTAATTGCACTGGTTTACAAGCTAATCCCAGGCTCCCAGCTGGATTATTACAAGTGCAATAGTTGGTCTGGTTTGGGATGTCAAAATGAAAAGGTTGGGCAAGATTTACATCTTCAGGCTTAACACTGAGTTTTCCTTGATATAAACATAAATTTGTAGGTCTACAAAACACGCCTACTTTGAAGAAACATACTGAGAACTGCTGATGGGGAGGAACTGTAGTATGACTAATGAAGAAACTCTCCATAGCGCTGGGATGTGTTTGGGTATCAACTTTTGCATACAGAACCCAGCTTCACCAAAGCTTTAGAGAGAGGAAGGAAGGAGGGAGTGAGTGAAGAGGTATTCATCTACCCTATCAGCTCTTTATGGTTTCGCTAAAAGTAAGTGCAATTGCTGAATCATGCAATTTCCTTTTAGTCAGATGAGCTGATAAGAGTGAAACTAACTGTTAGAAAGTAAATTAAAAGCAGATTGGAGATTAAACCCCTATGGGATTTTTTTCTCCTGGATTTTGGTTCTTCCTTATAGTTACCTGCTTCCTTAACCTTCTTACTTAATGCTAGATAGCTGCAGGCTTCTAGATTTCATAACTGGCCAATTTTTGCTATGACTCTTGGTATCACAAATTCCTATGTTGGCTTTCATTTCTGTGCATCTCTGCAACAAAAAGCAGCAACAACTGTTCATCTTTTTGACTGCAGGTATTGTAAAATGCACGCATGCTAGGCCAGTGTTACTGGTGGTAGTACAGAGCTTCGCTATTAGCATTCACAGACTGAAGCTTTTTGAAGTCCACCCCTGTCTATACCACAATCAAAGCATTTGCCAACAATACCTGTGCTGAGCTCTTAAACTTTTTAGGATGGTTCAGAACAGGTATCTGTTAGCAACAGGAGCTTTCTTACAATCCACCTCATGTGTAAGGCCTGTTAGTCGTGATCTATGTGCGTAGAGCTTTTAGACTACAGAATTCAAACAGTAGGGGCTGGACATTTATTTATTTATTAGGAAGCTGTGTATGAGTGAAGCAGCAAAAAATTCCAAAAGACATTTCTTACTTCAAGCTAGTAGTTTAGTCTGTTTAGTCAGTGGCTCTGCCAATAAACTTTTTATGAGATGTCTTATCCTGTTTTAAATGTATGTCAGAGATGGGTGGAATGAATGGCATCCGAGGGATGCCTCTAACCCTCTGCTGACTGTGGAAACATTCAGTATAGACTCCGCAGCTTGCTTTCACACAGCTGAAGTTAGAGGCAATGAATCCATCTAACATATATCTAAAGCTTTCTGGTAGTTCAGACTGCATTCACTTCATGGATAAGCAGGGTGAGCTTGGGTCTGCTTGTAAGGCTGTTTAAAAACATCCCCAGTTTGTCCTGGCCTTCTCACAGCTAAGCACATACCAGATACGTATTGCAGCAGGAAGAGCATTCTTACAAATTGACCTACAGTATTCTCTGGGTCTGAAACTTGTTTTACTAAATTCTGGTTATGGAAATGGTTTCACTAATGCTTATGCATAACTAACTGATATCTTCTGCTTATATGTGGAAGAACTCCCTTAGCTCTTCTAAACACAGTTCTGCATTAGGAGATTGTTTAGTTAGTTTTCTTTTATTATCCAATTGTCAGAAAGATTCAGAAAGAATTGCTACTTTCTGAAACAGTGTCTCATCCTGCAATAAAGTACATCTTCTATGAGCATAGTAACTATTTTAAATTCTGAAATTATTCTTTAACTCCTGTATGATTTCGAACACAGACAAGAACACCTCCCTTCTTTAGCTTTTTTTTTTTCCTCCTTAATTCTAAGAATTTTCTTTTCTCATGAAATCTTAAATTTATTTAGAATATTGGAACTCCTAAAGTTAGTAGATGAATAAACACTTCTCCTGCAAAGGAGGTGTATAGTATCATGTCTTCTGCAAGAGTTCCAAAATGTTGCAAAGTCGGACTGGAAGCTTGGCTGTGACAAATACATACCAGAGATATGACGTATAGGACTAACAGGTCTGCAGTACTATTCACTAATAGTGCAGGTAGATTTTAATGTCATTTCTTGCACTCATGTGCATTCACTGACCTTTCATGTATGATTTGCTGCTTTTCATTTCATTGAGGGCTACAAAATTCTTCAATCCCCTATAAAATGCCAGTCAGATCAAATGCCACAAACTGAAAATCTATGGGTAGCACAGCACAGCCATAACTTCAGTGCATAAATGCCACCAACCCTGAATCTCTATTATTAGATCTTACCACTGGATCTTTGGCATAAGTGAATACGATACATGAGCTTGTAAAAATCACATGGCATCCCTTTGGTTCTTGTAATAGAGACAAAAAAGACTTCTTAGATGTCCTGCCTTGGTTTGCTGCCAGTGCAGAGAAACATGAGTGAGTCCTAAGGGTAAATGCAAGCAATAAATTCACTAAGCTGACTGCAGGAATTATCAATTCAGTGTGGTGAATCAGCAAATTCCCAGAGACCAATTAGTTAAAATGCAGTGCACAAGTACCTGCAGGCCTGTGAAAGTGTCTTCCTCTCTGCACTTCTTCTGGGTCCTAATTCATCAATGCATGTGTGGAAGTGCCTTACTGCATCAGGACCAAACACATCTAAATCACAGAGGAAAGGACTACATACAACTAAATGCGGATGATAGGTTTAGGGACACAGATTATTCTGTGATTAAGTGGCTGTATGTTTTATTGATCAGTAAGGAGCATGAAAAGTGACCCTTAAAAATTTATTTCTCCCTGCTTCCACCTGAAATTCACTGACAGTTGTATTTCATTTATATTTTTCTTTGACCTTATTTTTAAAAGTTGGCAAAGACTAGAATGTTAATTTTAGTATGTATAATTTATTGAATCATAAGATATGAAAATGGACTTGATATGCTTCTCTATATGAATGATACTCTATTATTGAAATTTATTAATCAGCACATTCCACTCCATCAAATCCAAATTTTTTGAGGAAGAGGAGGGGAGGAGGTGGAGAGACGGTTTGGAAAAATGCAGTACAGTGGGCCGACTAAATCTGAATAGTTGGTGTCTGAAAATGCAGCTTTCAGTGTAATCTAAATCATACTGATAAAATACAAAACAGTTGTATGCAGTCATAATAACAATTTATATACTGTCAATATTAATAGCAGTGTCTGTTTGAGAATACAGTTTTAAAATAGGTACATAACAATTTTATTAGATATAAAAAGACACCGTGCAGAGCACAATACAATATATTTCATCTTTAATTCTGATAGTTCTCAAACCCAACTATCCTAACTGATATTGTCACCAATAGATCACTGGATTGAATTACTTCTCTGTATAAAACGAGGCTTCTCTGGATGAATTCATGCCATGTGGTTTTAAAAATACAGTTATTTCCCTTCAATGGCTACTTACACTAATCAAACACTGTCAAAACTGTTGGCCAGCCTGCGTTTAGTTTCCGACATATGCTACGATACTGCCCATTTTCCCTGTTTTGCTTTGCCTTGCTCCATTTGAGAACAGATCACTTTAGTCAGAAACAAATATTGTTTCTGATTTGCTCCAAGTTCACAACTAGAACAAGGGTTCAAACCATTTCTACATTCCTCCCGTTACTAAACTTCCACTGACATCAGCTGGAGTTTCTAACATGCAAGGACTGCAAAGTTCTCCCCATAGCTCCTTCTCTCCCCCAGTCTTTTCTGATGAAGCACAGAAGGCATGCTGAAAACTATTATTTCTCTGTAATTCGGGGGTTCCATTTTTCTTATGTTCTTGAAAGTAGATGACATTTACAGCCTTTCAGCTTTGACTATTTTCTTTGGAAAAGCAGACATGTAAACTTAAGAACTTGGTTACATATTTTGTTTGCACATTCCAATTCCATCTGACTAAAAAAAAGAAGTCAGAACTCTAACTTCAAATTGATTTAAATTATAATGTGCGAGTCTTAAAAGAAACAACTTACATTTTCTCCTCTTTAAAATACATTAACATTAGACTGAAAAATAAATTAAAGAATACAGAAAAACTGAGATTATGCTACCACAGTAATATCTGCCATACAAAGCTTGGTCTTTTGCTAACATTAGCTTACTACATTTGCAATACATGCTAAGCAAAGACCCTACTTCTCTAACAGGTACATTCAGACAATATACATTTTATGGAATAAATATATAATATATCCAGTTATAGATTTCTGAATAGTTACTATAATAGATACAAGCAAAACCTACGTTTAAAAATACATTCTAGGATTCCCTAACTTTACTACTAATAAAATTAAAGTTGACCTAAAACTTTGTCACTCTGTTGATGTGTAATAAAATATATGGAAACACCAAGAGTAAAAAGCCAATTGCTTCTACAAATGGAATACTTTTATAAATATAGTAAATTGCTATTTCCAGAGGGAAAATTGAAAATTATAAACAGGAAGTTAGGTTAAAACTGCTCTACGATATATAGTACAAAGAGGCTATGAAGCGTGATGTATGAGTTTGATGTCTGTGGCAAAATTTTGAACTGATGTAGTTGTTCATTTCTGGAGATAATTGTAGAGCAAAATTCTGTCCCCAAAAGCAGCCAATCTTGATCTCCTTAAAATGAAACTTCCAGTGAGTAGAGAAAGCCAACTGGCCAATTTCTGAGAGTAAGGAGTGCAAGATTAGATCAAACACAATTATTTGGAAGCCCTGGACTTTTCTGTTTCACAGGGTTTACCTATCATGCTGTTTTCATTAGGAATAGAGTCACAGAAATAGTATGCATCTGTGACTGCCGTGTGCTGAAAAACCTTATCATGAAGGTACCCTTCCTATGGCTGTCTTAACTGTATTATTCTTGTACTGCACATTCTCCAGGTGAATTCTGTTTCATGTTCCTGTAGTTGTTTCCTTTTGCTGGAATACTGAAGTACAGCTCTGGTTGCTTGATTACTGAAGTGTTGACGGAGGCTTTTTTTTTCTTGAGAATAACCTGGAATTAAAGAAACAAATTTCTCAGAGCAAACTGAAAGAATTAAGGAATTAAGTTGCTGGCTGTACCTGCCTTCCTTTCTTCTATTACAGTTTAAAGAAAGATTTTAAATCAGTAAAAATATCTTACTTGCTAATTAAAAGCTTTAGGCAACCAAAAAAAAAAGAAAAACTTCATGAGTCTGTGCTGTTTGCATGTTTGTCTCCTGCAATGGCTTTATTTTACATGGAAACACAAAATTACATCATGAAATACTACTGTTTATACCTCCTGCCTGAGGACTGTGATGTAAGTCATTGGGACATGCTTCCTACTTGATTTGTGCATATGGAGCCTATCTTTAAATGCATTCATGTCACAAGCTCCCACTGATTTCAGAAAAACTGAATATATAGAGAATCTCTTTACCTCACATACCATGTGTTCTGACTACACTGGGAAACTTGCAAGCCTCTTGGAAGCTATTGTTATATTGAACGTCAGCCAAGAGTGAATGAAATACTTCCTACCAAACTCGAGCCGAGCAATAAGGACTTGCAGGTTCCCTGACGGTTAACCACAGAGTGAAGTTATTGTTTCCTGTAGCAGGGAAGGGTCTAGGAAGACTTTTCTTCACGTGCTAGCAGCAAATCTCGATGATCTGCTGCAGAGTGGTAACAGACTAGTTGAACTGTGTCCAACTCTAGTAGCATATTCTTCCTTGTCATAAATGTTCTGGTTTTTAATTTAGAAAATGTTGCCAGTAATGACAGGCTTCTTACACAGTCTTGCCTGCAGATAAGCCAGAGCTGTACAGTGGTTATTAATCTTGGTGTTACTAGTTGGAAACTGGCTCTAGAATTTCTTTGGGCCTTATCACCTATTTTCAAAATGCAGTTTTACTTGGACAGAACATGTGGAAATGTACTGAAGAATGAGCTCTCCTCATCCTTGCCGCAGTAAAAGCCTGACAGTCCCCTGACTATCTCCCTTGGGGATCTCCTACCCTGCCCACAGCCCAACACCCCATTTCTGCCCCCTGGGGCCGTCAGCCCCTGCCTCAGGGACACCACAGCAGGGCCAGTCTCCAGCTCCCCACAGCCCTGCCCTGCCATGTGTGTCTCTGAGCCAGGCCCACATCTTGGCCTGTCCCAAAGGAGATGCCTGACACCCAGTGCCCCCCCACCCAACCGGCTGCCCTACTCCTGGCTGGGGCTGGGATTGGCCCTGTGGCCAGGCCCTGCCCTGACAGACCCCTGAGCCCCAGATAACTGCTGGCCCAGGCAGGGTACTGTCAGCGGGCTTTAGGGAAGACCAATGGATCCTCTCACCTACGACATATGGTTTTGCTGTGCAGTTTGCTGCTGCTGCTGCTGCTGCTGCTGAATGAGCAGTTGCTGCTGCTGTCGGCGCCGGGCTGTTCTCAGTTTTTCGAAGCGAGCCTCCATCTCCTCCAGCACCTTGGGTGTGTAGCGTACCACCAGTTTGACGCTGTCCTTGGCCGCCTTCAGCAGCTCCACTGCCTTCTCATGGTGTTCTCCTTCCACGCTCTGAAAGCAGAGAGAACAGATTTAATAACAAAAATGCTGCTTTGATCTAGGGCTCTGTCCTCTTTTCATACGGAAAGGCTGCTGGGGTTTTAGGAAGCTTTTTTTCCATTTTTCAAGGGATCGTTAAGGGAAGTGTTAAGTAAGATTTATGCATGCTGGGAATGTGTTCATTTCCATGTTTTAAACAACCCATATCTATTTTATGTTGCATTACAAGCCTAATACCTGACCTGTATGAAAAGCAGGGGAAATAATCAACAACCTTTAAGTAAACAAGAATAATCTTTAAGAACACAAACAAACAGTTTGCAACGCACTAAAAGAAAATCCTACCTAAATGTTGGTAAGAAATGAAGAAATTGCAAGTTTGAAATGGCAATTCCTTTCTTATGCCTTGTCCCTGTTGGGATCCTGCAGAGAGCTACATGTGATTCAGCAGCTGCTGAAAGGAGTATGCACACCATGCTCCCAGGAGCAACCCGCATCTTAGACCACTAATGGTGTTGCTCACACGTTTACCATTGATGTGACACAGATTCTCTATTGGAAGTAAACTAGTCTTTATTTGGCTAGTTGTAAGCAATCAAATGCTAACAACTGAAACACTCCAAGTTATTGATGAGGAAATATATATTTTCCATCCCTTTCTGGAAAATGTTTTATAGTAAGATGATATCTTCTGTGAAATCAAAAGTATTCCCAAAGGGGCTCAAGCTCTGATTTCTATGTAACACTGTTTAAACCAGTAAATTTCCGAAAGGGGGAGGTGACTCAGCTGTGAAAAGAGTATTTAATTTCTACCATTAAGCGGACTGACTGGGGTGCTTTTCAAGCATGTGAATTATTCCACACTTTAAGAGAAAGGAGGAAATTTTCTAGCGGTGGATGACTGCCTACATGTGTTGTAGGATACATTCCAATAAACAAAATTGTCTCTGCATACCAAAAAAACCTCAACAAACCAACAAACAGCCTGCACAACTGAGATCTTCACATGGATTTTAGGCCATTTAAAAACAAGTGATTTTCTTCCCACATGAAAGAAACCGAACTTTTATGACATGCTGTGTTTTAAAACTCTTATGTATACCATGCTATTTAAAATTAAATTATTCTCATAGGCTTCCAAAGAAAAGCAGCAGCATTAAAAATATCTGAAGCTCAATTCATGCAGAAAGAATAACTGAGCATTGTTATAGCAATCATAGTAAGAAAATTCTTTCTGTTTTCACTTCTCTTATTTGACTGAGTAGCACTGTGCAAGAACACTGAGTAAGAATTACTTCTGTGGTGGTGCACAATGAGCCTGAAATAATGACTTAAAAGCTTCAAAAAGCATATACAATACACTTCTACATAAATAATATAAATAACACAATCCAAGCTTATAAGCTTTCTATTTGTCTTCCTTCTCTTAAATAGCATTCAATATATGAACACAGAATAATTTCATGTCTGGGTCAAGTAATTGGACTCAAGAGTTTTTACAGAAATGTTAAGATGCTTTGAAAATATTAATTCAATTTACAGAAATAATGAATGCCATTTCAGGTGCTGAAATGATTACTAGAAACAGAAAAAAATTTAGAAGTAAATATGCATTTGATTGTTGAAATAAATGACTTCACATTTTTGAACTGTGTGTTCAAAGAAATCCTCCTGTAGGTCTCCTGTTCAAAGATCGTCAAGATTAATCTGTGATGACCAAGTTCATTAGAACTTGTAACTGGGATAAATCTGCTGAACAAGCACTCCTACCCAAAAGTAATTTAGAGAAGGAAAGAGTTTCCTTACAAATATTTGAAAAAGAGGAAAATGTTGTTGTGTAAGAAGCAGTGATTGTATCTAATGCTCCAAAGAAAGCTAAAATAAAAGGTTATAGATGAACAGGATATTTTAAAAATTGTTTTAATGAAAAAGTCACAGACACAAATCAAAACCTCTTTCTCACATTCCCTACCTACCTAACTGCTCAATGGCAGAGGAGATCATAAGTAACACATCCTGTAACCAGCCATCTTTCAAAATTCATTGCTTTGTGACTGGCTTTTGGAAACACAGTTCTCATCTTAAGAGGAACTGTATACAATCTGGCATTGTTTTATATTTTATTTTTTGCTTGTTAATTGTGGTCAGTATGACAAATGGCATGGACATTCAGAGGAAATGACAGTGTATTCATTGTTGTCATGATCAGTTTTGCTGTGCAACAGTATGAACTTAGAACAGGCTATGAACAAAAGTTGTAAGCTACATGAAATAGCTAAAATACTCCTTTGCTTTCTAAGAGTTGAATAATAATAAGCAATTGTGATTGTATCTGTTCTGTAGGGGACCAAGAAGGTGGTGTCCTTCAATATTTCATACAATTCAGTAAGCTGCACTTAATTCATGATTTCCTGTTTTCTTTTCCACTTGCCTCTAGCCCTGTTCTTCTAGTTTACAGCCAGTATTTTCTAATTAGAAATTAATGGTTTGACTTTGTGCTATCCAGGTCAATGGAAAAACCCCACTGACCTGAATAGTAATGATACAGAATTAAGCCTATTGCCCTACTGCTCACAGAAAGGAAAACAAAAAAGGCAAACTAGAAGACAGTGCTGGTTAAATACGAATCCTACTCTCCAAACACACCAAACTCAGGTCTAAAGTACTACAGTTTTCAGCTGCTATTAATATGATTGCTATACCTGATCTTAGTATCTTCACTGATGCTTGCACTCATATTTCCAAGGCATTCCAAATGCTCCACCTGCATAGCAGTAGCTGCACAACTGAAATAGCAGAGCCTCTTGGAGTAGGGAAAAGAGCTTACGTCAGTGAAGGAAGTTGTTTTGCTGTTTGAATTCTTCTGCCTCTCCGAGCCTTTGATTCTGTGCTGGTGAAGGACTCCTGCTGATATCAGCCATGCCTATACAAGGGATTTTGCTCGTTGGGAACATTGTGAGGCTGATACGTTACTTTAGAATTGTCCACCAAACATGGGATTTAAGAATTTGTTTTGGAATGTATACCTTTCATACGTAATTTTAGATCACACATGTTTATATATACTTACACCTTTATTTCCATTATTTCATTGGCAGATTGCATCAAAAAAAAGGACGCAAAATACTGCAGAGACATGAACAGCTGAAAGAACTGCAGATATGGTGTGGGGAAACACCAACCGTTATTGTGTTCGGGCTCACAGACTTGTCGTAAATATAAAAGAAAATAATCCTACACTCTTACAGACAAAAAAGAGAATCAGACTGTTAACCGCAAAGCTGAGAGACTAAGGAGAATATTTCTATCATGTATCTGTAAACAAATGTTTGGGTGACAAATTAGCTGTTATAAACCTATTTGGCATCCCTTTCTATATCTGACTCACACCAGGTATCTGACAACTGCAGTCTTTGCCAGATATGAAAAGCCACCAGCAAGTGCCTTTGCTGAGCCATCTGCAAGCTTACTGCTTTCAATTTCCTTTACTTTCAGGGGGTGCGGGGCAAAAGTATGTAACAAAATCCCCATTTCCCATAATGAGAAAACACTTTTTTAACAACCAGTGAAACAACTCAAGGAACAGTCATCCCAGTCATGCTGAATCTGAATTCTGAATCTGGATTCTGAACATACAGCACTAGTTTTATGTTGATAATTATAAAGTTGGATAACCACCAACTGCTGAGCACAAACAAGTTACAGATATTTCATTTTCCACTTCTGAGCCGTCTGTTGTATTGTACATGCTGTATATTATTTGCTTTTCTGCAGCTAAATTAAGAGAAGCACAGAGTGAACTAGTCCCAGTGAATATTGTTAAAATTAGACCTTTCTCCTCATGTCTCAAGCTGTCTGCAAACACATTACCACTTCCTTAATTTTTGCCTTTTTACAGATTATATTGTATGGGCTTAATTCAGCCCAAGATTGGTTTATGAACAGTTGCTCATAGGCATTATTTCAAGCATGCAACTGTAAGTTAAGCTTCAGATTTTGTTGTTTAGACTCTGAACACAAAAATATTTCTGTTGCATCTCTAATTCAACTTTCTTGTGCACCTACAAGCAATTGGGAATTTTATACTGTGGGTTTTTTTGCTACATTAGCTTAATATGTATTCTAGAGCACTTCATGAAGTTATTTGAACAGAGTATCATGAAACAGATATTCTCTTCAAACAGCACAACAGAGTCAGATTCAATGTATCTTGACACCTGAAGGTTCACCACTTTCCTCCCTAGTGCTTTGCTAGATGCTGTTGACAGTAAAATGATTTTTCAAGAATCATCCATCAGTTAGTGAATATAAACTCTTTTGCTCTGCCTTTTTATTCACCTATTGAAAGAAGTGCTGAACAATAACAAAATCATTTGATCTACCTTCAATCAGTGAAGTTCAGGCAATTTACTTTATTAAATGTTCAATTGATTTCTTTTTCCCTGAGACTAAATAATCTTTTCAGTGGCTTTTCTTTTTTGTTTTGTATCTTCTCTTTCTCATTGTGTACTAGGTAAAGCAAGCTTTCAGACCTATTATTTCCCTTTTGAGAATATGATGGTTGATAAAAGAAGTGGCAAAAAGCCCGAAGTGCTGCACTGATATTGTATTTAAAGAGGAAAGGAATAGCTGTTGTTGAGAGAAACAGATGACAACACGAAAGCATGCAGAAAGCAGTATTTCCTCCATTCCTTATGGGCTTGCATCAAAGAAGTTTAAGTTGTAAAGTCTCGCATTTTTGACTGGATTCAGGAATTGGTCTTACGTGCCTTTGGTGCATTTAAATACAAAGTTTAGAAGGAGGTTTTGCAAGAAAAACAATTATGTTTTCATTAAGGGAAATGTAGGGTTATACGAATGAGTATTCTTACCTTTTTAGTACTTCACATTCCCTTGTAAAAGGGAACTAAAAACAAAATGAAAGGCATAATTTGACCCATATCATGTAGTCAGAGCCTTATTTTCCTCTCTATTCCAACAGTCCTCTTATTTTTACCACCATATTGACATTTACAGTGAAAGTACTGCAAAAAGACCCCTGAAGTACTGACTTACACAAAAAAAAACTATGCAAAAAATGTACCTTTTTAATAAGAATACATGCTACCTGTATGTGTACATTTGTACAGCTGAATTTTTCTGGCATAAGTACCATAGCAGGATGAATGTCACTAAAAAGAAATCTGGAACATACTTTCCACTGCAAATCAGCACCACATGGGCTTACCAAATTTCTTCTGATTGTGCGTTCAAAGGCTGTGAAGGTCACAAGATTGCGTAAGTGCTACTGAGGTATTACTGTGCTTGGAAAGGCCTGTATGCCTCAGAGGCTACTGCAAGCACGACAGTTTGCTATTACACTTTTAATGCAAAAGGAATTTTCAAAATTATCAATTAAGAAAGACATCGCTTCCTTGGAAATTAAGCATGTGGTGTGGATTTGAAATGAAGCTCTTCAAGCACCCTCCACTACAACAGAAACTACAGTGGGCACAAAGTTGTCGACGCAGTTTTGCTTAACTGCACCACAAATGCACACTGAAGATCTCTCACAGAGCTAATTCTTGTTTCAAGTGGCTGCATTTTAAATCATAGTATTAGATCAGCTGTGAAAAATGAAAATCCAGATGAAAATGAAAACTATCAAATTTCCACATACCACTCCATTAACTGAAAGCAGCTGGTCCCCACGTTTGAGCCCTCCATGCCTTTCTGCCACTCCGCCAGGAATGATGCGAGAAATGTAAATAGGTGAATTTTGTTCCTTCCCTCCCATGACATTAAAGCCCAGGCCTTCATCAGTCTTTGGCAGCTCGACCACTCGTGGATGTGAATGGCCTTCGCTTGCGGCAAAAGCAGCAACTGTTGCCTAGAAGAAAAAAACAAGTGATTTGACTATGTAGGGAGAACACTGCTAACAAACAACTCTATTGTTCATTTGCAGGAAGAATTAATTCCTGTGAAAACATTTCAGTATCTTACTCTGGCTTTTTCTGATTCTCTGAAAGCATTTTAAAAATCTTAAATTCCATGCCAATGCTTTTGAAATAAAGGAGTAAGCAGAGGAGTAGAGAGTTTAGGTGACTTGTCAAAGATAACGCAGAAAGTTAGCAGCAGAGCCACAGGTAGGCACTGGGAAGCGTGACTGTGTGATGGTGAACATTTATAATCACGAGTGCCTTTCTTATTTGCCTTTTCACAGGGAAAAAAGTTATTATTGTGGGATAACATAATGTGATCTCTACTGTGTTCCTAGTTGAAATAAAGTGCATGAACTGCATTGTTAACTCTCTTCTCTGCTTTTAGAGGTATGGAATTATTTATTTTATTCTTTGGGCACAGAAAAAAGTCTTAAAAGGATATTCTTATTTTGAAAAGTTTAATTTATAATCTTTATGAAATCTTGCAAACAAACTAATTCCTGAAACAGGAATATGGGGTTTTATAAAATAATTGCATCAAAAAATTTGTTGACAAATTAAATATTAAGACAAGGGATTTACAAATCAATTAGAAAAAACCTGGATTGTTAGTCTTACTTTAGAAAAAAGAAAAAATAAAGAGCAACAAACTGTAAAGCTGGAATCCAGAAAAATACTACATCTTATACTTTATTTTTCACTACAAGTATTTTCCTACTTATGGATCTTAGTAAATCATGAAATAAACAAAATGAAAATCTTTTATCCTTTTCAACATGTGTTTGTACTCCAAACTGCTCAAACAGTTCTGCATTACGCTGATGGTTTTTGAGCATCCTGATAATGGTTATGCTTAATAGAAGCTGGTGGATGATGTGACATAATGGATCATTGTCAGTTATATGTTTTTGCACATGCAGACCTTGTCATCATGCATACATTTTATGTCAGACATGAATGCACTACGAGAATGCAATGCAGACAGCCCAGAAATAACCAGGAAATATTGCGATATTGAAACATTGCTCTGAAAACCTGCTGTTCTATATGAGTAAGAAATGAGAATGGCAAACACTAATTGGATTTCTCTGTGTTGTTTATTACACAACATAGCAAACATTTCTATGTTTACCTGCAGTGTAGAAAAATCAGGATTTCACATACATATTTCTCTATATAGAACCACAGACCTTACATATTCACATTCACCATTAACTTTCAATTAGAAGAAGGTTAAAATCAGAACAGCCTACAGAAAAGAATATTCTATTTAGTAAGGAAAATATAGTACAATTTAGTGTATGTTAGGTTACCTGCTGGCTATTGTGCAGCTTGCTTCTCTAAAGCACTCTAGAAATAATTTCGTAACACACTCCTAACCTTCATCTTCTGATACAGCTTTAAATTAAAATCTCTTAACATAAATACATAACGCTAAAATCTTAGTTCCATTAGGATTTCAGGGAGTTTTGTTACTAACTTCACAGGAGTAGGCCCATAAAAAATATGTCTAAAGCAGATTCATGGCTTTTGTGGGTTTACCTGTCTTGCAGAGAATCTGCTACAAGACCCTATAAGATGGTGTGAAGTACAAAACGATGATGGGAAAACCAAAACTACAGTGGATCTCCCTGTTTGGAAGCATCTCTCTTTGAGCACATTATGGAAATAACAGAGCCTATTTCATGCGGGCACATAAAATGGGTTCTTTCATGGTTGTGTGAATTCCCTTAGAAAATTATCATTTTAGTAGTAGTAGTAATGTCATGGTCTAAGGATATGAGAAAGGTGAGTCCACACGGACAAAGAGCCAATATATTTTATTAAATCAGGTAATGCATCAGAAAAAATGGGCTTGCTTTTGGCTGTGGAGTCTCTTGATCAGGCTATTTTTTGTCAGTGTTCAGCCTTTCCACTTGGTCAATACCTACTTGTTCCCATCAGTTAAAAGTGGGATTTTGACTGTTTAGTTTCTATCTCCCAAATCACGATGTCCTCTCTGGATGAGATGCATGGGAAAATAGACCATTAAAATATTGGTTGTTGCAGGCAGGCTTCTGCAGAACGAACCAGTAGATTTGCTTTTGGAAAGCAACTTTTCAAAAAGCATCAAATTTCATAAAATCATTCTCTTTTCTTAAGCTACAGAAGCAGCATAAAGGTTGAAATTTGCCATTATGATTGTTACCTGGGAAGTAGCACTGGTTCTAGACTCTGGGCTGCCACTGATGTCTAAATTTTCTTACAGTGTACACACGAATACCTGAAACACACACGCGCACAGTCAATTACTAGGTCACTTTGGTAACACATATTTCAACAGTTGCACGTATCCTACCTTTGCAGTAGCCCTGGCTCGGAATTCGGGGCAGCCATTAACAGTTATGGTTTCATGCATGTATTGATACACCTAAAATGTTCATGAAAATAAAATTAAATTAATTATAGAAGCAAAACAAGGACTTTATGTTAACCCAGACAGGACAGTTCCTTTCCCTCGTAAGACTATGGTTCATACAATTGCATAGCCAAGCGTCTGCTAAAATTGTGCATGCTTGGGTTTACAGTGAATATCAATCTGTGTTTCTCATAACACTTTGCAAACTTAACTGTACATCTTCCAACATGATTCCCTTCCCACTTCTAGCAAGTCATTTCCCAAAACCAGGACAGCCAGGCTCTGTATCATCAAAACTTAGTGTCTCTAGGCAACTGATTTGAATACAAATGATCTGAACTGATTTGAGTGGTATCTTCATCTCCAACAATGGCTTCTTTGTTCTTCAAACTTTCCTATGAATTAAAGATTTCGGAGACTGATGTTAAAAAAAAAAAAAAAAGAAGAAAAGAAACAGTAGGTGGCTCAGCATACAGCTGCTTAAGAATGGGAGCGAAAATTAAATTAAATTTTGGAGATAGGTCACAGTACTGGTTTCCACCAACCATAGCGAGGAAAGGCAACAAGGGCTAGCAGTCTGATAGGTCAGACAGGTACAAGGGGTAAGATAATCCTTTAGAAAGGAATTGTACATTCACATAAATGGCATAAAATCAACACTGCCAATATGTACTACTTTGTCTATTGTTGTGGTTTTGTGGGGTTTTTTTTTCCTTGTATACACTCTTGGCTCACTTTCTCTGGTCCTCAATTCTCCCTTTTAAACATCTTCAGTATAGAGAAAGGAAAAGACTCTCTCATGCCGTCTTTGTTCTCTAGATTTATCACACTCTTAGATGAAAAAATATCAAAAAATGCCTTAACACTAGCCAGTTATTTTGAAAGCAAACTCAAAATATAAAACTATTTATATAGAACATATGATTTTTTTTTCCTGAGAGACAAAAGGTGAATGCAAACAAACAAAACATTTTATTTAATTTCCTTATAAAGCCACCAAACCTAACGAAATGTTTTTATACACTGCTGATTTACTTTGGGCTTTTTCTTGACCAGCTTCATTGGGAATTTTATCTTTTCATGTGCCTTATGACTCAGGCTGCATTCCTCAGAGAGAACCTCTGCTGATAAAGTGTGTTAGCTTTTACAGCCATCTCTTCCTTAGGATCCTTTTGAAGTACAGATTCAATCATACTTTCAAAAATATATTTACCTTTCATTGACTTGGTGATAATTTAGCAGAAATGCCAAAACTCCCCTCTTTGGTATGTAAATGTTACTTTGGCAGAAAAGGTGTCAGACCCTGTACTTAACTGACCTATAAACAGTGGCTTGTCCTATTGATATGCAAAACCTCCCTATTCCCCTGTCCTGATGACTTGCTTGTTATGCAGTATCATAATAATATATCTCCAAACATGATGTATTGTTATGTATTATAAAACTTAAACACTGATGAACATATTGCTACAAACATCTAAACTGAATTAAGACGTGGCTAATTTCTGATCTCAGTGGACAAACATAATGGTAGTCAAACACTCTTACAGAGCAAAAAATTTGGGATGACTGATTCCAAAACCATTTTTGAGGACTATCATACACAAGGGAAAGGCAAAAAAGGAAAGGACACAACAAATGCAATCCATTTTAGAGATCAGAAATACACTAAACGCTTTCAAACTACAGCAAAATGACTGTCTTGACTATTGGCAGCATGTAAGTATTCTAGGACTTAATTCAGAAAACCTTGGGACAGTAAGAAAACTGGGACAAAGGGGACACGCTGAAAAGTATCCTGTTTTCTTCATTTGAAATTAAATCTTGCTTCCATTGGTAAAATTGACATTGACCCCAGTGGAGGCCACAATTTTGCCCTTAATTTTAAAAATATGGAAAAAGAAAGCTCTTTTATAGCCTCTAAAGCATCTCTTGTTTGTTCTTTGTACTGGATGATGGCATCATAACAATGGGCTGAGTCTACAGACTCAGCATTATCCTGAACAGATCAGTTCAACATTTATTGCATTATGTCGCAGGACATATTCCTGTATAAGAACAACTACTACGTTGTATGAGAATACTGTGTAATTGCAGTAATGAATCATTAAACACTTGTTACTTCAAAACCCATAATGTATTGAACGACTGATAATTTACTGTATTTTCCTGATATCTGCAGGTTCCTCTTCATCTTAAAGCATGAAAGCTGACTGTACGCATTGGTTTTGCTTGCACAGCTAGAAATCCTGTGGTTTGTTATAATGCCTAAAAGCATATATTTGACTATTGCTCTATTATGACATTAAATTGCTTTGAAGCCAGCCCACAATATGTCAGATATAGGAAGAGGTACTAAAAAGTTCTTTAAAATATTGATTACTAAGGTAGAGTGTCATGAAGATAAGCCAATAATGACAAGTTCACGTGATTACTTGATAGGTTTGATGTCATACAACTCCATATTGTCTGCATCCTACCAGTATCTAGCTGGTAGGCTTCATAATATCCAGTATCCTGATAACTGATGTGCATCCTGATGAAAGAACAAAATCACTAGCGTGTGATTAAACCAGTATGTTAAAAAAGAATAAACTGACTCAAAAATTCTGAAAAATACAACCAATAATGTCATATAATCCTTGGGTTAATTTGTAAATTCTCAATGCTAACAGATTGAAAATGGTGTTCTGCAAAGAGTTATCAGTGATCCCAAGATCTATAGCTCAGTTCTTAGGAAAAGAAGTCTTGCATGCCAAATCTCCTTCTCTATAAGAGACAGATGTGACCAGTCTCGAATATGTGTTCAAGGCAGTTGTACATTTAATTCTCCTATCTGAATGTTACCTAATGTTTAATGCAACTTGAGTTTAAGAAGGATAAAACATACACCTGCATAACTTATTATTAAGCCAGTTAAGCAACCAAATACAGATTGACAGTACCTGTTCCACCAAGCCCCTTAAACTCTTTGTAGGGTTCAGATCTAATCATTGCTCATTCTAGCAATGCACAAAACCCCACTAATCCTTGTTTGCCTGTAGCCACACTAACCCCTTTATCTATGCTGTTCTCAGCACCACCTTAGCCGTGATTTGTGCACAACGAATCCATTCTGCCGCCTCTTCTATGTACACAGAACAGACAAACTGAAAATCTCTTTGTTCTCAAACTAAATTCGGTGGCATTTAAATCCTTTCAGAGTGGATACAGCTTCTTGTTCAATCCACTGCATGTGACAAATAACTGAAATGGTTTTATAAAATCCTTCCTTTCAGTGCTTACTGTTGTCTGTACATTTGATTACAGACAACATGTTTACATTTTTAACACATAGCGATTCTCCTGGACCTAACAATGCCACCCGTCAGCTGTCCTTGTAAGCGCTTCTGGAGATTTCTTTATTTGGACTAAATATCACTCGGTACAAAAAAAAGACAAAGATGCAGAATTTAATGATAAGTACTTGAAATATCCCTTAGAATATTTACTAAAGAAATCTTTTAAAACAGTGGTCTTTGTTGACTATGACAGATGAATCATTTCAAAAGACATCATTGTGTAATATAAATATGCTGAGGAAAGACAATTAACATGTCACATGATAACAGTCTGGTTGCAGCTGGAAGGGACCTCTGGACGTCATCTTGTTCAACATCCCTGCTCAAGCAGGGCCACCTACAGCCAGTTGCTCATGATGGTATCTGTATGGTTACTATATGTTACTAGTTTTAAAAGGAGCTGTATATCTATTTTCATATGTACAGCTATTTCGTTTTAGAATGTCTAAAAGACTTCATGGGTGTTTAGTAGTAGTATTTGCTGATAGACTCCATACACAGTGTGACGGTCTAATCCTAGGGAAAAGAGTTTCCACAATTCATTAATTATAGAGATTAAATTACAGGTGAAATGTCAATGTTTCAAGATGCAAAGATGCAGCTGGAAGGTGAATGGTAATGTTTCAGATAATTTCAGTGATTTCTACTAAGATTGTTGGTGCCTGTTCACTGAACATTCATTCAGTAAAAGCATGCTGCAGACGGGTTTGTTCACACAGCTCTCATTTGCACTGTGGAGCTAGACGGATTAAGCTTTGTTTCCTCCTCCTTCCTGTGGTTCAGAGAATACAATGCTCCCATCAAGAAATACTCCTGAAAGCAGGAATACAGATCTCAGACTTTTTCAGCTTTGGCAGGTAGTCTTCTCAGACACTGTAATCTCAAGTTATTCTCCCAAAGTACTCAAAAACTATGGAAAAAGTGAGGGAGGAAAATTACAAATAGAAAATCTGAACTTGGAAATTATTCCTCCTTGTAGTGTGGCAGCTCTTGCTGACACAGAGAAATGTACCTTTTATTACTTTTCCTAGCAGGAGCTGTAGTGAGTCAGATGCAGTGGGTATTACTGTGATGAGGATGGTCCTCATCTCTATGCATTCAGCTGGGATGCAAAGCAGCTGGTTTAGCATTACTGAAGCATGGGAAGGGGGCTGCCATACAGGTACTTGAGGAGCTAGCTTTTTAACAAAAATTAATCCATATGGGCTCATAACAATGCAGCAAGTACTGGGCTGGCCTATTTAAGTCAACATGAAGCTTTAGGAGGAGGGCCAGAAATAACAGTGCACTTAGCAGCCTGTTTTATAAAGGTGGCTACAACCAGAATTCTGTTTACAACCTGAATGATGCAGCATCTCTTCTGCTGAATTCTCGAAGCTGTGTTAAAAATGACAACTTAATGAAAGACAGGACAAGGGGTAACGGGTTAAAACTTAAACAGGGGAACTTTAGATTGGATATAAGAAAGAAATTCTTTACTGTTAGGGTGGTGAGGCACTGGAATGGGTTGCCAAGGGAAGCTGTGAATGCTCCACCCCTGATGGTGTTCAAGGCCAGGTTGGATAGAGCCTTGGATGACATGGTTTAGTTTGAGGTGTCCCTGCCCATGGCAGGGGGGTTGGAACCTGATGATCTTAAGGTCCCTTCCAACCCTAACTATTGTATGATTCT